CAGTCAAATATTTCATTGAAAATGTTTCTAAAACATGTTATAAATGTTACAGAAAATGTTACAAAACGAGTTAGGTTGTAAAAAAGGCAAGGTTTTATGAAAAATCTCTTATTTGTAAGAATATGGGTCATGTAGTCATTTTATTACATCCTATGTCTAGAGACAACTCTATATTCTAAATATTTTGCAGTTGAAACAGACGAGAACGTTTTGAAAAACAAAGTAATTTTTTTTAATTTTAATATTCTTGTCTTCTTTAAAGTTGGAGGAGATTAGTTAATAGCGTCAGCAGTTTATAGCTTCATAGCTATATCAAATATAGAGATCCAGCATCCCCTTTTCCAGGGACCGTTGAAATGCTGAAATATCACAGGAAAGTTATAGATTTTTGTTTAATACTTTTTTATTCTAAACGAGTCAGGGATCTACTATGGTATTATGTAGTTGTTTTATTTTAACTTCTGCTATTTATGTACGAAATTTCAATCACCATTAAATAATGCATTGAAAAGTTAACAGATTATTCTAAAATTTTTATTTAATTAATTTATATCATAATTACATTTTTCCTAAAATAAACTCACTGGTGCTAATATAAATAAAATAATTAAAACGAAAGGTTTCGATAAATCTCTACTACCACTGCTTTGCTGTTGAACAAACCTAATCCTATTTTGAACTTCTGCAAAAACGGGACTGTAAGTATTAAAATACCAAGTAACGACATCTATATCAGCGAGGTCTTCAAATTTTTTATTAAAAGCTTTTTCTTTCAAAATATAATGTCCATCGTTACCATCACCCAAAAAATTGTGTAGCACTACGGTATAGTTTTTAAGAAGATCCAAGTCCGAATAAGTTGGTATATTGCAGTATCCGCACCTAGTTTTAACTGACACCACTCGCGACATTGCAGGTTTGGATATGTCGTAGACAACTTGAAGTCCGGACATTTGTAAAAATTCTCCACGAGACGTCTCACCGTTACTTCTTACTCCTAGTTCTAAAGTTGTCCAAAGATCCGATCCAGATAATGTGAGACTCATTACTTGGTTACCAAATGGCAACGCCCCCAAAAGCTCCCCTCTGGTCACTTTATTATTAATTCCAGGCATAATTGTTGCTCTTATACCTCCGCCGTTCATTAGTCCAATTGGAGTGTCGGTCCAAGTAGGAGCCGACACTGTAGCTTTGTACATTACCATTGCGTCTGCTATTAAGTTGCCGAAGTTGCATTCTTCGCGTCTACAATTATATTGACTACCATCTAAAGTTACTTGAAGGCTACCTTCTATTTTTTCATTTACTGCGTTTACTGCAGGTCTATAGATCTCTAGGAGTTCTATAAAGTCTTCGTCTTGAGGTATTGAATTGTCTAGAAGAAGCGGCTGACCCGAAAACTTTATCAAGCTTCCTTCATCGTCGAAAGTAATGTTCAGACGTCCTAAAAGAGATGGAAGAATATTGAAGGTGTATATAATATGAATATGGATAAAAATTGTATTTAAAGACGTGAAAGATCTTCACAGAGAGTAGTTAAGTGGTAAATATACTAAAAGTCCCCAAATATATACTAGAACAAAATATTGGAGAAGGTGAGTCATATGCATGATCAACACTATTGTCTATAAATGAAAATTCCGAAGGAAAGTAACAGAATCAGCATAGGCGGCGTATCAAATACCAAATAATTATTTATTAGGTATTTGTTAGTAAACTTTATTAAATTTGTTTGTTAACATCTTTATTTAAACAAAGATGATGCTTTTAGATAGTTTTCAAGAAATGAATATATTTATTCCCTAATGACTTCGTTATCTGTGTTTAATGGTTTTAAAAACACCACTTTTAAAAAGGTGTGTTCTTCGTTCTTGGCAATTTCGTTGATTGTTACATTCATTTAATTAGACAGACAAAAAAGTCCGTCCATATGTCGATCAGGTAAAAAGTCAAAACCGCTAAATCAGTTGAAATCAGTAGAGAGTAAAATTTTGTAAGATGATTCCCTAATATTTGGAGGCGATGACAAATGAATATGTTTCAAGTAAATAAACGACAAGACGAAGTTAGATTTGTATCGCTTCAACTATTTACGATAATTATATATTATTTTATAAACACTTTTTTGTATAAGTGCTCTTTTTTGATATACGAGTAGGTGTTCATGTTTGTGCCTTACAATTTGGTAGTGGTAGTGCATATTCGAGGAGTTATATTTATTGTGTAGTATATTAGGTAGGTACTTTAAAAGTTTATTAAATAGTAAAATATTGGTGTCTTTATAAATTTAATAAAAACAATTTAATAGTAGAATTATACTGTTACAATAGTAATGGATTCAGAGGCGGGTTCAAGTGAAACCCAATTACGTCACCGAAAGCCCTTATCAAAGGATGAAAAGAACATTATATGGAAAGTGTATGATGGGCTGAAACAGACACTTCCTACAAATGAAGCTGTAAACCGCAGTTCTTTTTTAACTGGAGTATCTGTTTCAACAATTGAACGTATTGTACGCGAAAAGACAAAAAAGGCTCCTTAGAAGCCCCTAAAACGCATACCAGTGGTCGAAAATTGTTGAATTTGGACGATACCAAAAACAAATCATTCGAAGAACTGTACACACTTAAAGTTGTTCTTAAGAGAAAACGAAGAAATTTCATTAATGAGACGTGAAACTTTAAGAAAAATTTTATACGGCCTAAAATTTCGTTTTGTCCGGAGTAGGAAATCAATTTTAATTGAGAGGTCAGATATAGTGTCCTGGCGACGGCGTTATTTACGAAATATTAAAGAGTTTAGAGCCGCTAAAAAAAATTATACTATCTCGATGAGACGTGGGTGAATCTAGACACACGGTATCTAAGATATGGCAAGATACTTCTGTAACTAGTCATCGCCAAGCTTTAGAGGGATTATCTACAGGTTTGAAACCACCATCAGGTAAAGGATTACTAAGCAATTTTAAGTCATGTTTCAGGCATTGATAATGAATATACAGGTAAACGGTGTCCCAGTAATAAGTAAATTAATTTTAACCAGTAATAGAACTAGTACGGAGTGGGTGACTTCAAATTCCACAAAGGTCCTGATTTTTTTTTTTTGAATTAATATAGTTAAATTGAATGCCTATAAGTATAGAATTCCCTACCCGATCTGTTGGTAGGGCAATGAGAAACAGTAACAAAGTATACATAAAATAAAAACTGTTGAGTAAATTATTGTAAATCAACATAGTTTTTAGATAATAATCTAAAACTATTCTAAACTTACCATAAAACCATTTGTATTAAATTTTTTGGAGTCTAGCACCATTCTCTCGAGCTCCACCATTCTTTAATACTCTATTTAATAAAAGCATTACTTTAGAAAACATAGAAACAATGAATGTAGGTATGTATTTGTCTAATGTCTAATATATTGAATAAAATAAATATACTTATCACTTATCATATTTATTTACGAATCATCTATTTTACTAATATCTTAGCTTTTTTTGCGAAACGATTTTTTGTATTCCATTGAAAAAGCTTTTTATTTTACGAGGAAGTTTTTTTATATAATTATGATTAAGTATGTATATTTGTTTCACTTCGTTTTTTTTACAAAATTTACAGTCGAATCATGGGGATTGAACCTTAACTTAAATAAAGGCAAACGGTAAGATTTTAGAATAAAATTGTACAATTATTGATGAGATGGTGTTTCTTTCAAGCATAAAATACAAGTCTTTACTAAAAGAACGCAAATGATTGATAAAATGGTTTACTACAGGAAGTTTTTGGTAAAAATGAGTTACAAATAATTTTAATGAAAAAATAGAGATCTGTTGGAATTCAGAAGAAACATAAATTGTAAATTTATATCAAAAATAATAAAAAATCCTTCTTAGTAATTTGATGTTAAATATTAGACTGGGCCAAAAAAATAACTATTTTTTTTTTTTGAAAGATATATCGAGAATATCATTCAGAATGATAAAAAAAAAATTTCGTGAAAATTTGAGCCCTTAATATTAATTTTAAGAGGTCTATCATCGCTATTTTTGATTTTTTGTCATAATTTGATGTTTTATGTTAGAACTGTCAGAACATTAAAGTGAAAAAGATTCCTTTTCACTTATTCTGATATAAAATTAAATTCTCTACGAAAATGGTCTGATTGAAAATTTTCGTCAGACGAGCTGTTTCCAAGTAATTTCGTAACTAATAAGTAACTTTTGAAGAATTAAATTTAGGCAAAAATATTAAGAGACCTTTTTTGTAGAACATTAATTTTCCTTTAAGAATCCGACGTGGGCTTTTTTAAATATGCATTGAATCATTAGTTACGAAATTACTCGAAAACGGCTCGTCTGACAAAAATTTTAATAGAGCCTTTTTTGTAGAGAATTTAATTTTACATAAGAATAAGTAAAAAGGATTTTTTTTCACCTTAATGTTTTGACAGTTCTAACGTAAAACATCAAATTAATATTAAGGGCTCAAATTTTTAGGAAATTTTTTTTTCATCATTCTGAATGATATTCTCGATATATCTTTCAAAAAAAAAAAATTGTTATTTTTTTGGCCCAGTCTATTAAATATGAACAGAATATTGTTCTTAAAAAAAAAAACAGAATAAAACAACCTACTAATCTATAAATTGTTACCTACCCAATTAGAGAAAAACATTGTTTATATAAATTAAAAGGGATATATAATAATTAAATTAAATAATTGTTAATAATACATATTTATACTAATTTAGAAGCAAGAAATGACATTTTTGTTACATATACATTCGAACAGGAAAAAAGCAAGATTTTGACAAAATGGTGAATGCGCCGTGAAAAATTTTCGCCTGCGGCGCTATGCTTACTGGCCTGCTGTATTTTTATACAATCGCTACCCCTTCCAAAAATGTCACCGCACGCTACTGGTATAAAACAAAAACTCGAAAGTAAAAAAGACCGCTTCAATTTTAATTTAAAAAAATACTTTCATCTTTACAGTGTGATTCTAATCTATAGTAAAATACACCATCAATATTAATATCCAGAAATTTATTGGTATAAAGAGTGCACCGTTTGACTGTTCCTGCATTAAGCTTTCAACAAATGTAATTCTTCCTTGAACCTCTGAATATACCGGACTATATTTTTGAAAATACCAAACTAATACATCAATATCTCCCAAATCTTCAAATTTTTTATCAAAACTCTTTTCTTTTAAAACATAATGACCATCGTAACCGTCAGCCAAAAAATCCGTAGTTACTATCGAGTAATTTTTATTAGGGTCAATATTTTGGTACGTTGGTATCGCACAATATCCGCATCTTGTTTTCACTGAAACAACTCTCGCCATAGCAGGTTTTGATCTGTCATAAACGACTTGTAATCCTGAAACTTGTAGGAATTCTCCTGCTGACGTTTCTCCGTTACTTCTTATCCCTAGTTCCAATGTTTTTAACAAATCGGATCCTCTGAGTTTCAAAGAAACTATTTGGTTTCCAAAAGGTAGTGTGGCTAAAATATCTCCTCTGGTTAACCATTTATTAACACCTGGCGTTACAGAAGTTCTGATACTGCCCCCGTTCATCAATCCAATAGGAGATTCGGTCCACGTTGTTGAAGAAAAGGAAGCTTTGTAAAAAACATTTGCATCAGCTATTAAATTTCCATAATTGCATTCTATACTTCTACATGTGTTATCACCACCATCTAAGGTGACTTGAGCACTTCCAATAATTTCTGTATTTACATCATTAACCGCTGGTCTGTATTTCTTTAACAATTCTAAAACATCTTCGTCTTGAGGTATTGAGCTGTTTAAAAAAATTGGTTGACCAGACCAGACAAGTAAATGTCCGTTTTCATCAAATGTCAATTTGAGTTCGCCTGGAAAAGAAAATAAGTAAATCTGCATTTTTAATACGCTCACTACCAACTCAGGCGTTACAGTAGAATTGGGAGTCTTTTCTTACCGATGGGAGGTCTTCTCTTTTTGAGACTGCTTAGAGAAGACATTAATAGAAATAGAGTTTTCGAATATTTTTTGAAACAACACAAATCTATAATGCATAAATGATTAGACTAAATTTCAATAGTGAAGAGTACAGTGACGATATAGATAACGACAGACGTAGAAACCCAATTTTCTTTTAACATTACCTGCAACTGTGGCTGGCGGGAGAAGAAGCTTTTTAAAACTTAAAATAACAAAAATTGGCACAGGAAAGGCTTTCAGAATATGCATTAAAAAAGGTAAGAAAAGCAAAGTTTATCTAGGCTTTTTGACTGATTTTTTAATTATTATTAATAGATATTTTTGTATATGTATGTATTTATTTGGTTTTTGTATTAGTAAATTAATAATTTATTAGTGTGTTAGGTTGTAAAACTAAGAAATAAACCAAATTTCTTATATTTTCTATAATTTGTTGTTTAATTTAAAATAAATATATTTCTAATTCATGTGATATGAAAGGAGTGGAGAATTTTGCACGTACACGGGCGGCAGCTACCCTAGGAACAATCCCAGTTTGAGCAAATTAATTTCAAATCGTTTAGCATATATTGCTGTGACGTAGCTGTACATTTTACTATTGAAAAATAGTCAAACATTAAACGTTATTTAAAAAAAAGACATTAAACATCATGCCTAATTCACAAAAAAAGAGGACAACCTTGATTTGAAATAATATTTGCGAAAATATTATTAGTATTAGTAAATTTAATTCACTTTCTTATCAAACGCTGTACCTAGTAGACAATTAAATATGTCAATTCCGATGCAGTTCCAATTCCGGTGTATACACTTGTGTTTGTGACTTATTTTTACAGTTTAAAATAGCCGAGCAACACATAAATACACTATCTTACTCTAAAAGAATTATTTTTAAATTTTCAGTTTCACTAGCAGCTTCGTATGATTTTCCAAGTAGTGATTTAACGAATATTACCAGATTTATAACCTTGTTTCTTATAACATACTTGTTTGTCGATGCACCTTTTTTATTTTTAAAACAAAATTGAATACCCATTCTTTTTTGTTACCAGTTTTCTTCAAAAATATATTAACAACCGATGAAGCTGAAATTTTAAGAAACAAAAAACTCAAACTCATTCTATACATACCTAAATATTTGGTGTAAGCATAAGCTTGAACTACAGGAACTTGTTTCCCAGAGGGCTGCGTCACAATTTTAGGATATGGATCTTCGACAGTCTCGGTATCGGGTTGAGCGCCGTTCCATAGGAATGTATTTGTATGACCACCAACAACGACATCAACGAGAGGAACTTTTTCTGCTATTTCTTGATCTTTGACATATCCAGAATGACCAAGCACTATGATTATTTTGACTCCCTCTTTGTCCAATCTCTCGCTTTCTTCCTTTACAGTTTGCACTTCATCTAAAAATATCGTCTCTCCAGGACTTGATATTTTTTGTGTTTCTGTTGTCACGTGACCTAAAATAATTAGTTATCTATATCAGGCGCCAAATACACCTCTTGTTTATCTTACCAATAACTCCTACTCTTGTTCCATTAACATCTAGTATCACAGATTTTGGCAATTTTTCAATTAGTTTAGGTACTTTAGAAAAATCTACATTTCCTCCAATGGTAGGAAAATTTAACGCTGAGACGTATCTATAAAGTTCGTCAGTGCCTTTGTCAAATTCATGATTTCCTAGACTCTGAAATAAAATTAAAAAAACTATAAGCCAGACAGAGCCATCCTAGTTGATTCAAAGCTGGTTTAGAACTTTATAGAATACCCTTAACTGACTCGGTACCCGTAATAAAGTTATTTTGATCTGGGTTCCTGGATACAACGTTGTGGAGGGCAATGAAAACAACTAAAAGAGTAACTAAATCTTAGTTTATAGAATCAGAACTATTTCTCGATATTGGAAAGAGCTATACCAAAGTAATTGTTTTAAACTGAACAGAACTTCTTTTAAAGGTATGTATACCCAGGGAAGGTAGGTGTCTACTGCGCATACATCATTTGTGAGCAAATTTTGTGGTAGAGACTTCGAATCCTGCCGAAGACGATGTGAATTTATTTGCTTGTCCCTTCCCCTACACAAGTCACTCAGTCGAAAATTTACAAAAACTGAAAAATGGTAGGTAAAATTTCTTATAATAATATTGTTTGCTACTTGATCTGATAAATATTCAAAAATAATCTTAAAATATGAAGAAAAGTGAGCCAACTATAACTAATAATGTTTATAGATGGTTTTCAACGTATTAGAAACAAAACAAATATTACAAAAACTAAAATATTCACTCTTAAACATAACAAAACATCCCTTTTAAATTACCACAATCCGCCACTGGTTGCAATGATTCAAAATCTCTGTGAATCTTTTAAATAATTAAAACAGAAACGAAATTTATGGTAGGATTCTGGGAGATATCCTACAAGCTACAGAATTTATAAGATACAGTATAGATTGTCTCAGAGTCGACCCATTAATTCAAAATTTTAAATTTTCGTTAGTACTTCCGGTTTAGGCGTAAAAAATCTTCAATATGCTAGTCAGTCCTTTTTAAAATTCACAATAGAACAATTTAGATAAGTTGTCTTAATCCGATCTTGTATAAAAATGTTTTGATGAGCTAATAATAAGGTTGATACAGCAACAAAGTATATGTTGTAGACGCAACATCGAATTATACGTGATCATGCATTTATAAAATGAACATGCACATGAAGTATTACGTTAAAACTAAACAATGAACATCGACGCCTCTGCAACACATGCTCACCTAACTACAACTACTGTAAACAAAATTATTTCCATATCAAAAATTAACTACAAACAATATTAAGCGCTAATTTTTTATTACTTTTGAGTAACATAAGATTAAAATATCCAATATTTTGGTTTTCAAATTGGTATACGAGGGTGGATCCTTATGTTAAAATATTACAAATAATATAAAAAAACAATATCCCTAAACAGAAATATAATATGCACTTTGGTAGAAAAAACGAACAATGTATTCATTGACAGAATAATTATTTTTATGTAGAAAATTATTTTTATTTTTTTATTTTGTAGACTTTATGGATATGGATATGAATAACATAGTCAGTGACAAAGAAAGTGATGAAAGACAAATTGAAACTGATTAAGAAGTAGCAACACAAGTCTTTGAAGAGGATACAAAGTGACAGGCACAAATTAAAGCTTCCAGAAACTGTTCAATCTAAATTTAAAAAATAATTTTTTCCAACCAACAAATATAAGGATAACAGGATGACTGTAAATAAAGGATATCGAAACTACAGTCTGTTCGCTATACAGTCTGTTTCGGATTAACAAAATTATGCAAATTAGTAATTGACAACCAGTTCCAATAATCCCCTTCCCAAGAAATTAGGTAAAATTGCCCTAATGGTCAGATTTAAATTAAAATAACATTAGGGTAAGTACTAAATTTGTTACAAATATTGCAGTTGAATTGATTCTTTGCAAGTGTTGATATTGTTTGAATATTGTTAATTTAGTGGAAATTTTAAAAATGCCTAGACGTGTGTTAGATGTAGATAGTCTAATTTGTAGTGTACATAAGTATTTTACGGATGAAAAAGAAAATGGCGGAACTTTAAAATCGGTAATGTCTCTATAACAACGCGTATGCGATGCTCTAGGAATTAGTGAAACCAAATTAAGAGGAGTATTACAAAATCACAATAGTGCACTGCCGAAAGAAGATCAGCGCAAAACTCGCCCATCATTGAAAACGAAAGATGGAAAGAAATTTGAAATTCGTGATACCATTTATCGAATGAGGGCCAACAAGGAACATGTGACCTTAAATACAATTCTCTCGGAATTAATAGAAAATTTGACGACATTGGCAGAACAAGTCTATGGCAAGTGATACATAACTTGGGTTTCAAATTTCAAAAGGAGGATAACAGAAAGGCCTTTTGTGAAAGAAGTTCTGTCGTGCACAAGAGAATTAACTTTCTAAGAAAATATTCTAAATTTAAATATTTAGACGAAATATGGATACTTTCTAGGGGTGCAACCAAGAGAATATGGCAAGATGATAACGTAAAGTCCATCAAACATACCGATGGAGAAGGGAAGCGACACATAATTTTACATGCAGAAGGGAAATCGGGTTTTATAGAAGGTGCTGATTTAATATTTTCATCTAAATTAAAATCCAGTGACTATCGCGATATTATGAACACAGAACTGTTTGTAAAATGGTTGCATGAAAAACTTCTCCCAGGTTTAAGTGAGCCCAGCGTAATTATTTTAGACAATGTACCTTACCGTTCTAAAGTATTAAACAAAAGTCCAACGAATTCTTGGACTGTTAATAAGATTAAAGAATGGTTGACAAAGGAACATATACCATTTCCTCAATATATATTAAAATCAGAATTATTACGCTTGGCAAATATACACGCAAAACCAAAAACGTTTGTTGTGGATCAGATTATTGAAAGTTACGGTCATCAAGTTTTACGTCTGCCACCGCATCATTGCCAGTTTAATCCCATCGAATATATATGGGGAATAGCAAAACAATATTATGACAACCATATTGGGCCTAATGGTTATAGTGACGACGCAGTTCGGGAATCTTGGCGAAAAGCACTTTCAATTGCAACTCCAGAAGTGTGGCGGAACTGTATGTCCAAGTGCGAGAAACTAATAGAAGATTGGTGAACTCGTGAAAATAAAATAAACGAAATAAGTCCAATCATAATAACAATTAATGGTGATGACAGTGATGATGATGATGACGATTATGATATTTTGGATGATAATGACTTGGCAAGTTCAATTTTTTTATTTTTCATTTGAAATTCTCCATTATTATTTAATTAAAAAGTTGCACATTATTTTTCATTTCATTTAACCAGTTGATATTTCCTCCAAAGAACAGGTCAAACTTTCGAGTACTTACCTGGAAATACTCATAAAATTTTTAATCCGAAACCCGCGTAAGTATTGGCGATTCAAATTAATTTTCGCGCGCCTGTCATTTGTCATCTATAAGTAGGATGTTTGTTTATTTACATGTTTTTGTTTTGGGCGGATTTTGTATTTGTGATTTTTTAAACTGTTTTTAGATAATATTCTCATTGTAATAGTGTTTTTGAGTTTCATTTAGTGTTAATTTAAGTTTAAGTCTCGTGCTTTCGTAATAAATATAATATTTATCATGTGTATGACTTAATTTGTTGAAAATATTCACCTACCTATTGGTTACTATAAGAACATCTAGAAATATGTATTCACTAAACCCAGGACATGTTTTATTATGTGGTTTAAAGGACATTTCAGGTACCACACGTTTATTATGGATGAACTTATTTAAAAATCTTACTAGACTTTATTCTTATATTATTAAGTGAATCATGTAGTACTTTGTATACATGTAAATGGTAATAAAACCGTCAAAAAATAAGATTACAGTTTGATTCTAAACAAAGTTTTGTAAAATTTCAATATTGTGAATTTGTAGATATCCATTTATCGTAAAAAACAAAATTTTACGACTTGTACTTGGAAAATAATTCAGTTTTGATTTTGACATTAACACCATATAGATTGCAATTTTCTGGGGACTTTTTCGCAGATTTCATTTTTAATATAAACACTATCACACGCTATAAGAAATAAACAAATTTAAAGCTAAAAAGTAAGAAAAAACTCGAATTGTAATTGATACAAATTAAAATGTAAACAATGAACACGAACGCCAATGTTGCCAAATGATGAACTGATTTTAAAACAAAATTAATAAATGAACTGAAATATAAAAAAAATCAATATAATAAATCAGTTTTATAAAAAAAATCCTTAAATAAATATAGAGTATGATAACATATAAACAAATTTTGATTCTTAAATAAAAGGTCTTATCCACTTCTTCAAGAGCTAAAATCCGACGACGTAGCGAAGTTTTACTACTTCTGGCAACAGTGAACGATATCCTACTTATACGGACCTTCTACAAATTTCCTCCAGAGGGCGTATCACTTAGCTTGAATCGCGAATAGCTAACAGACTGTAGAATGTTGTATAAATACATATAAACAGTCCATTCATTTAGTTTACACCGAAATTTATTTAAGATGAATAAAGGTCAGACATGAACCAACTAAAAAAAAGCAAAAAGAGATTATTATAGGCTAATAATGTTGAATTCCACTAGTTCTATAGAAAAATAAAAAAACTTAAACATACATAGAGGAAAATTGAGGACCTTTCCGATATAATGAAATTTAAAATTCGTGATACAAGGGCCTGCTGGACGTCAGAAGAAACATACAATGTATATTTATTTTATATCAGAAATAAAAAACTTATTTTGTCAGTTCCAGTTTTATGTGTGAACTGTATAATGTACTTAAAAAAAACGAATAAAACAACTCAGTTTTATTATATAATTTGCGTCCTAATGTCATATACAGTGTGTCTACGTAAGTTGGTTACATACAAATGGAAAACATTTTTATTATTAGTTTGATTAAAAAAATGTATTCTTTATAAAACAGTCTCCATATGTTCTAAAACCCAAAATTCAATCATTAGATATTAAATTGTAACAGTCGTATACGAGGTTTGTCAAAAAATTATTTTTGGTTAAGAGTAAAGTACCTTCATTTTTGACAGACCTCGTATACGACTTATAAAATTTGATATTTGATGAT